TATTTTTAAATTTATTAGAAAATTTACTTAAAATGGAAAAGGACACAAACTTAATTCTAATTTCATATGACATAAAAGTTGCTTTACCTGATTTAGATATGACTTATAATAATAATAATTTTATACCCAAATAGTTGCACCCACTTATTTAAAAAAGTCTTCTGCAACTTTATCAAAATTGGATGTTTACCCAAATTATAATAATCCGGGGTTTTTTGAAGGAAAAAAAAAAAAAAATTTAACACAATATTGTATAATAATTATTAGATTAAACAACTGTCGATAGGGTATTTGCTTTAGTAAGCAAGCAAAGATTTAGCACTGATGTGATTGACTAATGAGTGTCATCGTAAAAGTAAGGTTGTTAAACAAGCTGTTTAAGTTGTTTTGTAAGCGAGCTCGCAGTCAGCCAACAATTGTGAACGACTGGAATAAATTGGTCATAAGTAAATAAAAAAGGAATTTTATAGAAGCCTTTGAGCTTTGTGAAAGGGCCATATCGATTTATTCTGTACCGTTAAGTATGCTTACAGATTCTCCAAAGTGTTTTAAGCAAAGAAAGAGGCGGTAAGCATAAACTTATTAGTTGACAAGCACAAGAGTAGCCCAAAAGTTAAGCCAACATCTTCCAGACTTGTCAAATAATCGACGTTGACCGAAAGTATGCCATGCAATATGAAATAACAGGATTTTAGATTGGAGGTTTTTTTTCTCTGGATTTTATACTAATCGAATCAAACCGGATTTTGAATATTATATTTTAAAAATAAATCTATTTTCTTTTTAAGAGTTAATTGAAAAAATTATCACATTATATTATATTATATTATTATTATTATTAATAAAAAAGTTAATTATTAAAATATACAAATCCCTCTAAAAAATAAAATACCAAACAAATTATAATCCAATAAAATATTAATGGAATTTTTTTTTAATTGTATTCTGTCCAGTTGTTGTATCTTTGTTTTTTTCTTTTATTTTACTTAAAGCAACTTGTATAGCTGCTAACCGTGCAACTTGTGTTTCATCATTCGGAGCACAACATATATAAGTTCTTCCAGGTGTAATAACTTTGAAACAATGTAATTTTGGTTTAGAAATTGGTTCTATTTCAGATTTATACTCAAATGTGGTTTAAGATCATATGAAAATATAATTAATTGATCATTCAATCAAATACAAAATGAAATAATTGTTGTAACTATTTTATATTTTGGCTTACTTTTTTATTTTTATAATAAGTTATTTTATTATTGTGCAATTCGAAGGT